CTTCTTCCTCTACTCTTCCATCCATGCAGGCTCGCTTCCCCCGCCCTGCACCCCCTCCACCCTCATTCTACCTCCTTCCCACTCCCTCAGTTGACCTCGTCTACCACAAYTCMCTCGTAGCCAACCGTTGTTCCCCCCGTCGCTCCACCATGCGGCCTGGGCGGACAATCCGCTGCACCCCCTTCTCCAGGACCTGCACCGACTTACTNCTCGTAGCCAACCGTTGTTCCCCCCGTCGCTCCACCATGCGGCCTGGGCGGACAATCCGCTGCACCCCCTTCTCCAGGACCTGCACCGACTTACTCGGCCGTAGCGCAGGCCTCTCCTCCCCGCTCTCCTCACTGCCAAAACGGTGGCGCACCACTCGTCCGCTTGACGGACATTGCCTTGTATGACGGTACAAGCATATGCATGTCTCGGTGGCTGCAGTCCGCCACCCGCACCCTCCAGCTCATGTGCGTTCCACCCGACTCGTGGGTGGCTCACCTCTGCACGCGCCTGCGTGGCGGTCCTTTCGACGCCTGGGAGGACTTCTACACTCACTCCCTTCGTGAGGGTCGGACCCCGACCTTCATGGATTTTCAGCCATTCCTCGAGGATCGCTTCGGAGCTCGACATGATGTGACTGACACCTTCGAGCGTGTCGTCAGTACACACTGGTCCGACTCTGGTGGCGTTGCCGGCCTGGACCGCCACATCCAGGTCTTTCAGGACGCCCACCTCATTTGTGATGTAGCGTTCCTCACCGAGGCTGCCCTCATCGATCGTTTCTTGGCCAGCCTTCCTCTTGAGTACCGCTCCGAGTTATGGCGGTACGAGTTCACATCGGTCTCGCAGGCGTACGAGGCCGCCATGACCCATCAGCAGATGCGGACCCATTGTAGGTGCGAATACCCTTACAAGGGTATCCGCCCTGGTTTTTGCAAGTGACAGAAAATAAGCTTGATTTGAAGTCTAAGTATACCGCGCGAGGCGCGGCGGAGTCTGTGATTGACGTTTGACTGGATGGTTGACCGGAATAGAGAATGCGTGGGCGCGTAGACTTAAGGCGCGCGTGATTTCTTTTTATTTTTGATGACTGAAGAGCCGGCGTGGGCACCGACCAAATTTTTGATTAAACTAGGGTTAAATAGACTTTTGTCATTTGATTGGTGCACTTACCGATGACTCGTGCGTACGCATGGAAGACGACATCGACAATGAGGAGGTTTTGAAGCGGCTTCGGTAGGCCCGCGCGTCGCACGGCGTTCGTTTATTTAGGCGTTTGTCAGAGCCAAACCCAGACTTGGGCCTAACATTAGTGGTTAGGGCGCCCGACTTTCGTCAAGGAGATTCAGGGAACGAGGTCGAGCGGCGACGACGCGAGGATGAGAGTGGCGTGGACGGAACGAGCGGTTGAGGGTCTGACGGGCTATCCCCCTTGGTTTTGTCGGCGGCGGCGTTAGAGCGGTACTAGCGGTTCCTTTCCCCCGTCTACCGTCTGCTGATGATTAAGAGTTTTAAAGTATTTTTATTATACTGTCGTGTCAGTATTCTGCTCCGGCGTTCTTTGACTTGGACGTAATGGCGGGTCTAAAAGCCGCCACGACAGCCGAGGACCTTAAGCGCGCACTTTGATTTGATGGACATAAGGATTCCGGTGTGTTCGGTACACCGACGAGTCTTCTTTATTTTTGCCCGTGCGTGGGAGTGGTGGGGTCCGTGGCCGTGGCTTCCCTCACTTTGCTGCGGGCGCACGGCTTGCCAACCGCTACTTGCTGTAAGAGGTTTGAGTGTGAGCACGCCCGCCGGGACCCGAAAAAGAGCGGGCTGTGCTTGGGCGGAGCGGCCTAAGGCACTGTGAAAGAGCACACAGTGGTGCACTGCTTGGGCTGCGCCCACGGAATTCTTTTTACCCCGATCTTCGAAGTCTCAGACCGACTAATTGCTACTACCACCAAGATCTGCACCAGGGCCGATCCCCCTGGGCCCACGCTTCAGGCAAGGCAACAGGACCGCTCCTTGATCCCGCAATCTGCTGCGGGAGACGTGGGTGTGAGTATGCCCGTTGAGGCCCTGAAAAGCGGAGTGGGCCAGAGGGGGTTCGGGGGAAGGCTGGTGCGATGCTGTTGCTTGCGGGTCAGTCATCGGAAGGTGGTAGAGGGGTGAGAGGCGACTCGAACCATCTAATAGCTGGCATTTTTTGTCGGAGTTCCCTTGAGACAGTCGGGGCTGCTCTGAGCGCTACCCGACTGTCTGTGGGATCGGCCGCTGTTAAATCGGGACGAAACTGCTCACTAAGCATAAAACCTAGGAAAAGCCACTCAAAACCAGAGTCGAACGGCTCGCGTCTCGCCCAGACTATTTGAATTTAGTCCTTCAAGAGCGCTTGAGGATAGTCGAGCTATAAATTACCAATCTCAGAGTTCGTACGAACCAGCGGCCCAAATTCTCTCTTTATTCCACCATCTTCATCGCCTACTTCTCTAAGCTAGTCAATTTTGTACCTCAAGCACAAATTGAAGAAATAGAAACTCAACAACTCAGATCCCGTAGACGCAATTAGCCGTGCCTTCCTAGCCAACTCCTAGTTCTTCCTAGACAGATATTCATTCATCAGACCCCTTAAGCATGGCTGCCTCAAGATTCCAAGTTCGTCTCACGAGAGAAGCCAGCATGCCCAAAACAAATAGCGCGAACCAGACAAAATTCTTCAATCAGACAGAATTAGCACCTTCTTCTCGGCCTCTTCCTTTATCACTTCCTTACCTTCACTCTTTCTCTTTCCCTCCTTCCTTTCCCCTTTCTCCCTCCTTTTCCCCTTATTTCCCTTCCCTTTCTTACCTCCTTCCTTTTCTTTTTCTTTTCCTTTTTTTTATCTTTTTTCTTTTTTTTCTTTTAGAAGCTGAGCAGGAACTCAAACTTACCCAAAGAGCAAATTGCCGAATTTAGCCTTAGGTTAATGACGAACGAACCCTGTAACTATCCGAAACCCAAATAGAAACTTACCAAAATTTTGCCAATCAGCATGAGATTTCAAGCAAACTGTTCCTAAATCAAGCGGTTATACGCATCGAATAACAGAGGGCGGAGCAGCCCGCCACCTCAGCTACTCCTAATCACCCTGAAGAAAACCCCGGCAGACGTAGTAGTCAGGTCACAGAAAGCCCGCTGCCACGAGATCTATCTGGATAGCAAGTTACCCTTCGCTCAAACTAAGAAGAAAGAAGAAGGAAGCAGAAAGCCCGCCACCGCAGTCAAGGAGCCATGGAAGAAGGTACGCAACCTTTACCCTAAACTGAAAGTGCGTGAAGAGAAACCAAAACCTGACCAGGTGCCCTTGGTTTGAGTCCCAATAACTTACTGAAAGAAAACTCAGCCCTTGAAAAAACGCGGGCGGTAGCTCTCGAAAAACTAAAAGAACCTCAGGTCTTTACTCACAGTCACTTCTCTTCTTGCGCAGGGTAACTCGCGGACCTTCCGCCGATGCGCCGACTAGGAGAGTGTGCCGACAGGAAGCGCCTTGAGTGACCCGGTAGGTTTACTAGAAATAGTAAATCCCGGGCCGACTCAAGCTCTTGGTGGGACTGGCCCCATGATGACATCTGAACTGGCCCTTCTCATTTCACAGGGCATGGACCCACGGTAAGCCTACTTGCCCCTGAACAGTGAACTTGTCTTTTTGGCAAGGACAGCTTTTTCCCTCCCGAGTGCTGCTCCAATAGGGGAAGGTCTAGTGGCTGCGAATCTCGTACGCAGATGAAGTGGTTCCCAGGAGGTTCCCTTCCTGGTCCAATAGGGGGCCCCAAATCACGTCTTGTAACGCTCTATGTGACTGTAGCCAAGGCAGGCGTCCAAATTTGGCTGATGGGATCTTCCGCAGAACTTCACAAAGGCGCTTGAGAGTAGCTGCTGTGATCCGAGACAACGGGGTCCCTCTCTCGCTGGCTTCCAACTCCCATTTGTTTCCCAGCAGAGATGATGGAAGTTGATGAGGGAAACCAAAAGGTTAAAAAAGGGAATCTGAATTGCCCGGGGACGGTCAGCTCAATGAGATGATATCTCAAGGTCCTCCCCCTTTTAAGATCGCGGGCGAATCTAGGCTGTCGGGTGCTTCCAGATAGACGGCCCAGATTCACGCACCGCAGAGCCCTTGGGTCCTACCACGCCGCAATCCAGGCCGTCGGCCCGGTACCACTGGGCCAACGGCCCCAATGGACCTAGAATAGGCCTACCGGTAGCCTATCGGTGCGGGTAGGTCTTACGGCCGCCGTACCATTAGTGTAGGCCTACTGCCGCCCTCCTTACTCATGTGTCGATGTGCTTCTCGCGTGGGTGCGTTCGTCCAGGTGCGCGCGTGTGCGTGTGCGTGTGTGGGTGCGGGTGCGTGCGTGCGTGCGCGCGTCCGCGTGCATGCGTGCATGCGTGTGCGCTGTTGTGCTAGGGTGGGTGTGTCCGGGGGCGGGGCGCAGCGCTTGCCACACACACACACACACACACACACACAGAGAGAGAGAGAGAGAGAGAGAGAGAGAGAGAGAGAGAGAGAGAGAGAGAGAGAGAGAGAGAGAGGGGCGCGGGGAAACATGAGCAACGTGCTGCTCTAGATTTTATGTTGGAAGCCGCCAAGAGTCGAATCTTCTTCTTTTCGTCGTCGGAGTGGTGAACAGCTCCTCGCGAAAGAGGTAAGCGCGGTCTGATCCTTTCTCCTCCTCCTCCTCCCTCGTTGCCTCTCTCTCTCTCTTCGGTTTCCTCCCCCTCTTTTCTTTTCCATGTCTTCTTTGTCCATGTGTATGTTCTGTTGTCCCCCTCGACGTCATTCTTCTCTCCGCTTCCTCCGCCGAGTCATCCTCTGGATATGTGCAGTTCCATGTGGAAGCATTTCTGGCCAGTATCCTTGTGTCGCCAGGAGAGCAAGGGAAGGGAATGGGGAACCGTTAAAGACTTAAAGGTAAGATGCGAGGAGGAATGGGAGGGCCAGGCGAGATTGAATCAAGATGATGACCACACAGGAGGGGGGGGGGGGGGGGGGGGGGGGGGGGAAAAGAAGAAAAGGGGGACAAGGGGTGCAGTCACAAATTTAAAACAGTTTAGATGGCTTGGCCACCGCAGGGGAAAAAAAAAGAAAAGCTCAGGTCCAGTTTGGTGCAGTGAGGTCAAGAAGTTGGATAAATGTAGGACGAGTTGGAAGGGTTGAAAATGTGGGCTGGATAGGTGTTTGAAATCGCGAAAGGAGGCGGGGAAGGCCGAAGAGAGGCGTCGATGAAGCAACGCAATCGGTGCCGGGAGAGAGAGAGAGAGAGAGAGAGAGAGAGAGAGAGAGAGAGAGAGAGAGAGAGAGAGAGAGAGAGAGAG